AACATCCTGGAGACCTTCCTGATTCAGAGATATACTCTGCACTCCAGAGCCTGACTGCATTTCTGCAAAAGCAAACAATGTTAAAGCATAAGGCATACCTGAATAGTAAAAAGCATACAACTTGATATATCTGTATACCTTTGTGATGAAGATTGTAAAACTCTCTTCCAATGCTGTCTGCTAGTTTCTCACACCAGTTCTTTGAAGGGCAGAACAGCAGTGCAGAGTACCCATCCTGCACTGTCTCAAAGCAGAGGCTGACGATGTGATCATCATCTCCCTACAGACAGAAGAACTTCCTATCTTGTAATAGTTAACATTAGCAGGTACATTCTATGTCATGCAAAAATTTGATTCAGTTTTCAGAGGCCAACAAATATGTCAAGCTCTGACCTTTACGGGAAGAGCTGGGGTGAACTGTCTGACCAGGTTCATAGATCCATCATAGACATTTGTGCCTATCTTGACCCACTCCATCAGTGGCACAGGACGATAGTTAGTACTATACAGCTCAGCATTCAACCAGCGAGCAAGAAGTTCCAAGTTTGGCAGTGTGGCACTCATACCAATAATCTGCACACCAGCAGGGGCACTTTGAGCAGAACCCCTTAAAATAGAAACAATGTTAACCTTCACCAGAGAAACTGATTATCAGGACCATTTCTGGAGGATTATTGGCTTAAACATTGCATTATCACATACCTTGCTGTGTTTGTTTGGGCAATGTATTGGATTTTAGTCAGCAAAAGTTCTAACAGATATCCACGACCAGAGTCCCCAACCATGTGCAGCTCATCAACCACAACAATTCCTGCAAATTGGGTGAAAATTTAGTTTTACAAGAGTACCTTTAAGAGTAAAAAAAAAGTCATTATTTTACCAAGAATATCCAATTTGTCTTCTTCAATGAGTCTGTTGATGAGTCCATTAGCTTTCTCTATTGTGCAAACAGCTACATCCAGAGCTGAAAACCCACCAGCTGCTGAAGTGTTACCCATATACCCCTCCACTCTGACCCCTGCCTCCTGAAATACATTCTGGGTGAAAATGGCAAGCATAATATAAGTAAAATCTCATCAACAACATTCTTAAATGTATATTGACAGACATATTAAATTTAGAAATCAACAATTACATATGTAGATACTGTACTATGCACTCACAAACTATGATCAGTGGGCCAACTGAGATGACTGAGAATTATATATGAACTCATCAAATGGGAACCAACCTGTAGATAAAACATCTTCTCACGAGCCACAGACACAAAAGGAAGAATGAACATGGCCTTTTGTCTTGTTTCCAAAACTCTCTTCAGGATTAACAGCTCAGAAACCAAGGTTTTTCCTGCACTGGTTGGAGCTTAAAAAAGAAAATGTAAAACTGTACATTTTAAACTGGGAAAAAATTAGATAACTACATATATTCTAGAAAAGTATCACGTAATCACAAGTATTTATAGGTTAAATATTTAGTATGTGATCAGGTGCTGTTTCTCAGGAAAACAAGACTAAATACAAACAAAACATTTGCAGTCAACAAGAAGAAAAACAGCTATTTACCAGAATATACCAGGTTCTGGCCCTCCAACACTTTGCCCAAGGTCAGACACTCAGCCTGCCACTCAAACATCCTCTGAACACCGAGACTCTGGTATTTCTCCAGAGCAGGCTTAGGGAGACCCCAATTAGAGAGCAAAAGCTTGTCTGACTGATCGGCAGGACGTCCCATATGGATGCTTTGGGCTGTTTGGTATAATAAACAGCAAAAACTGAATTAATATTTCACATACCAGCATTTTTTTATTATTGTTGTTTTCAATAACAAAATGCCACACAAGTTTAAAAAGTTAAAAAGTCAGAAAGTTGTTTAAAAATGTTTTAAATTGATGAAAATTGACAGTAAAGACATTTTTTGTGTTACAAAATATTTGTTCTAATAAATGCTGTTCTTTTGAACTTTCTGTTCTCAAAGAATCCTGAAAAAAGTATCACAGTTTCCACTAAATTATTACACAACACAACTGTTTTTATCATTGAAAATAATAAGAAATATTTCTTGAGCAGCAAATCAGCATATTAGAATGACTTCTGAAAGATCATACAACATTAAAGATGGGCGTAATAGCTGAATAAATATAACATGAATGATGAAATTAGACAATTCTTCCTGTTAGTGAAAATCTGAAAATTTAAGTCACTTCTTTAAATGCAACAGTGGAAAATATACCTGCATCTGGTAGTGTAGCATCACAGAGGACACTGAGATCCAGTCCGGGAGGAGGGGTTAGCACAGAAACTGAAAGGTTTTTCATTGATCTCTTCTGCTGCTGCAACATGGATCGCTCTTTAGCAGCAGCCATATGTGTCGGACTGAACAGAATGTAGTCCTTGGAGGTACTGAGAGAGTCATTTGGGCTGGTATCTCTTCTGAACTTTAACTTTTGCTTGCTGTTTGCTACTTTAGGTGTTTTTGTCATGGAGTTGATGATCTTTTGAGGTGAAGAATATTCTGTGTCACATTTCATCTCACGGCCACGGGCCTTTCCTCCTGCTTCAGTCTTTTTGGTTTCACTGAACAAAAGCTTTTGGGCCAAATCCCTCCAGTCGTTCTCTTTTTTGGCTTGTGTTCTGGTTCTTTTGCGCTCTGATGGTGACCACGCTGAGCCTGGACTTGAAGGGCTGATGTTTTCTGCATTTTGCACTTGTTGCTCACAAATATTTTGTGGAAAGTCAGAGTTTTTCTTAAGTGATGCTGATTCAGTTTGTTGAATGTTTTCATCTTTTTTGAATTTCAAGACTTCTGGACCCAGTTCATCAATAGCTTGTAAAATTTCCACATCCACTGCCAGAGTGGAGTCTCCTGGCATCCATTGCTTATTCTGGGTTTGCTTTAAATAGAAAAAGTGAATTTCGCACTTAGTGTAACAAAGCTTATCAGTGTCATAATATTATATAAACTAGGTTTAAAAAAAAACAACATACTTTTGGCTCATTACATCTTCTGTTCCCAGATATATCTGTTGCAGAGGAGGAGCATGCTTGATGCATGCGACTTGATTGTCTATGTGGGTTCTCATCTTCAAGAACTAAGCTACACACATAAAAAACTACCCGTTAGTGACAACAGTATTTACATTTCCCATCTGACATAAAACAAACAAATGCAAAAACATGCAGTTAAAACAAGCTCACCCTGAAAATATACGAATTATAGCCTCAACATTAAAAAGCTTTGTGATTTTAACGCTATTGTTTTCAGCGGGAACTCATTTAAAGTCTCGCTTACTTATTTGTGTACATTAAACAAAGTTCTTCCAGGCGTTAAGATTAAACAGTGAACCATTAAAAGCTCCATGTCAACCAAGTTTGTGAACAAAACCATGGAAACGTACACAATCAATACAAGCACAACACAGTTTCAGATTTCCAACAAATCTTACCCCTTTGTCTTTACAATCCGATGTTGTCCCAAATAAATCTTTCTTGTCGTTGAAGTAGTCATCACATTTAGAAATTAAACGACTAATAGCAATGTCTTTGCATTCAATGCTTTGGTTGATTAAAAATATAAATAAAATCAAATATTTAGTTAAGCTAGCTGTTGTGTTGCTACCTCCCGTCGCTCCACAAAACAATCTCATATTAATGAATTAAAATAAATGACTGGCATTTCTCGTTATTTCAGCCAGTCGAGCTAGCATTTATCATTTTCAGAATAAAGCTATTTACATAAAACCGTCGTAAAGTCTTTGAATAAGTGATATTTCATTGGTCCTGTCGTCTATACAAAATGTGTTAATGTAAATTCATATTTAATGGCAATTCTAAGAAATCAAAACAAAACAAAAAACAACCAAATCAAAGAGCCCGCGGTGTTTGCACACAAAATTGTCCCGCGGAAACAAGTCTACAGAGTCGAGGTTCCTCCAGTGACTGCATACAATATCACATCCTTGTAGCTTAAAAAAAATCTAAATCATATTTAAAAAACTGCCAGTTGACACGCCTTTATCCTTATTATGTTGAATATAATATTTAATAAAGATAATATTCAAATGTCGTTCTTGTTTTAGTGGTGTGTGTGTTAGTGAATCATATTTATGAGCGAATCGTTTAACTGAACGATTCGTTCTCATCACTCCCATGATTCATATTTTTCGTTCACTGAACGTCTCCCGTGTAAATGACCGTTTTGCCGTCTTAATTAAAGATTTACTATAGCACGATCAAATAGAATCCGAGGTATCGAGTTTACTTTTGGTGATTCAAAAGATTCGATTCATTTTGATGAATTAAAATTCCCACCACTGCCATCACTCGTCTCACTCATCTATCTCGCAACACTGGCATGATATCTGCAGTATGAACAATGCTCAGGGTAAAGTCCTATTCCATCAACGTGATCACAAAGGACCTTGAATACATTTCTTTAACTCATTTAACCCTGAAATTATAATACAATTCTAAGGTCTGAAATTGAATCGTAATTTATCTTTAGTTTAAAACTACACAGAGCCGCATATAAGTTATTGTTGTACGGTAGATGAGGCTGTGCTTCTTGAGAATTGAGGGAGAAACCAACGAGGAAGAGAGATACCTGTGTTCTGATGGCTTCAGAGTTGAGACAGAACAATGTCAACTAATATAATAATAATAATAAATGTACCTTTTGTAATGTATCTGTTGAAGATATTGAACATTTATATATATATATATATGTTTGTATTAATTTTGCGTTTTTGTTGTTGCTGTTGTTCTGTTTTGCATGCTTTGAGATGTGCAACGTTTCCCTGTTTGCATTGTACTTTTGTGTGATGGAACTGAATAAAGGGGGGAAAAAAACACCTTAGCAACCACCCTGAGTACCTTAGCAACTGCATAGCAACACCTTAGCAACCACCCCAAGAGGTGGCGATATGCTCAAAGATTGCAACTCGCCATAAAACCAAGAAGAAGAAGAACGAGGAAGAGAATCGTGCTTGGTTTGAAACTCAAATTTTGTAGCTCACTTTTTTGTTTCTGGTCTTTTTTCATGAGATCATTTTCTTTATTGTTGTATGTCTTTAATAGATTTAATTTTAAAAAATATTTAAAAAGTAATTTAAAATTTGAGTCCTCATTTTTTTTTGTATTTCCTTGTAGAGAATAATGGTATTGTGTTCATTGTTTGTAAACCTTGCCAGTATTTTAAGCACTCATGAGCAACAGACGGGCTCTGGTGAGTTGCACAGTGCTTTCTCTGCAAGACTCTTGTTTTGTGTATCCATGCTGCAAAGGCTGTCTATCCCGATTAAGTCAGGAAAGCAAAAGGTACGTAGTAAAATTAAGTTAATTTTTTATTACAAATTATGTTGAATGTACTTTAAATGTATTTTGCGAATGTATCATTATGTGTAATTACTGATGCTATAACAAAATGACTATTATATGAGTGTGTGTGTTTGTGTGTTAAATTAAAAAGCATCTGAACATTATGAATAACTTCTGAATCATTATCTTTAGGGCTATATGTGGAAGATGTGGATTCACTTGTGACTTACAAAACGTTGACTACAGATACAGACTGTCATTTAAAGTGTCCAGAAACCAAGACATATTTGGTGTGACAGTATTCGGGGGCTGTTTAAATCCCTTCTTTGGCATTACTGCTGGTGGCCTTCAAAGGTGTGTTTTAAAGCATTTACAGATTTTTAACATCTTGAATAAAATTTCTGTTGATTCATTGCTGATATAAAGTGTGATGTTTCCAGATGTATTGATTTGGAGAAAACTGAAGGCACACATACTGTTCAACAACTCCTTGTCAAAGCTGTGGAAGACTGCTTTATAGGAAGATGTGTCATTTTTGGATTGAAGGTATGGAGTATGTCTTCATTTAATTTGGGGTGGAGCTGGAGCATCAAGATTATCCTCTTTTTATTAATTTTGCTCATTTCTTGTTCCTTCCTAACAGGTCCCTCATAATGTTGCCACTTCTTCGCTGTCTGGACAGTTAGTGGCCTGCCAGATCATTTCTCCATGTGAGTCTTTGATGGGATGTACTGTAATTGGTTATTTTAAAAACCTCCTGCGAGAAAATTCTCTCTCTGCCAACAGTATCTGTCCATCACAACAGAAAGACTCACAAAGTTCTCAAAGAAATGAACTCAGTTTTGATTATACTCCTCCATCATGTGCAAAGTTGGATTCTCAACCCAGCAATGAAGGATTCACACTCTCAGGCACATGGCAATCACCTGGGTTATGTTTCCCCCCGGAAGAATTAAGTAATGATGTGTTACAGCAGTCCAGAGACTGTGATCGTAATATTCTTTCACCAAAGAACGAGGAGACAAGAACATGTAAATGCACTTCCCAAAGCAACACCAGTCATTTGAAGCATGTTAATTGTATACAGGATGAACTGAAGAACGAAACACAGAAGAGTCACAGGAAATCTTTTTCCTCGAGCTGTGACATGTTTGAATCATCAGTGCATTTGAACAGTTCCACTGCATGTGACACTATAAGTCCACTTAGCACCTTGTCCTGTGGAAATAATACTGAAATAACTAAATCCGAATGCCTTGTAAGAGCTAAAACCAGGGAAGAATATGATGCACCTTTACACGAGAAGTCACTTTATAGTCTTGATTTAGAGTACGCACCTTTATCCGAAAGCTTACAAGATTTTGTCAGCGTGGAGCCTCAGATATCAGAGATAAATGACACAAAGGAGCTCAGTTCAGGTAAAAGTGATCAAATGATTCAAGTACAAAATAGATGCTCTCTGACTGAAAATTCAGCAAGCATCTCAAAAAATATACCAATGACTCTTTGTAGCGAAAAATTGTCCTCACCAATGTGCAATGTGAACAACATAAGTTGGAATGAGAACAATGAAAATGACTATCCAGAAAATCTTGAAACTAAGATGAACAATGCTGAGATCCATAAGACTCCCACTCTTTTGTGCACTACCAGTTCTTCAAAAAAGATGATTCCTTTTAGTCCTGACATTACATGTGCATTTAATCGCTCTACAAGCAACAGGTTGTCGAACAAAAAAGGACTCACTTTAAAAAGAAAAATATTAACTAGGAGCAGACCCTCCGTGGCTTTTTGTTCAGTAAACCATGAAAAGGGCAAATATTTCAGGCACTGTGCACAAAGTGAGGTCCATTCTGTAAATTGCAAAGTCAGGCAGGAACGTATTGTGTTTGATGACCATGAAGAGAAGCACAATTGCTCTGTAGACTTGTTTGCTTCTGGTGAGAGCAGTATGGACATGAACCTTTCGGATGTGACAGAGATTTCTAAAGGCAATGAACCAAGGAATGTCAATACATCAGAGCCTGGAGGTTCGGGTTCTCTGCTTTTTTCACCATGTTTGCAATCCACCCCAGTTTCTTATTATAACAACTCATGTGGACAGAAGACCAGGCGAAGCCAAAAACGTGTAGACTCACTGTGCTCCGGAAAAATTAAATGTGAATTTAAAAGCAAGATCATAGATCTGAGGTTAAGTGATAAAAGACAAAAGGTGGATCAGTTGCCGATTGTTGGGTCTACTGAGAGTTTCTCAGGCAAGTCTGACATGCAGGATGCAAGTTGTAATTTGTCTGTAAATGAGTGGTCCAAAGATCTTTTTGAAAATTCATTTTGAATTAAAATTAAGTGAGATGAATTACAATATGTGTTCTGTTTAGTAATTGTAAATAAACAGTTTTGTAATTGTTAATAAACAATTTTGAATGTTTGAATGATTTATAAATGTTTATGGAAAAATTACAGTTTTTATTATTATAATGAATACATACCCAGAATTGTATATTCGTATGCATTTATATTATGTAATCATAATTAAAGACTCAACATGTTTAATTATAAAAGTTTTGATTTAAAAATATATAATAAAAAGGGTGAGAAAAAAAACAGGTTTGTCCAATAAAATCGTGTCCATTTTGCTCAGCGTCACGTCTACCAATACTTCAGCAACCTTGTTGTATTCAAAATAGACGATTAAAATGCCAGACAGGTAGTGATGGGTAGGCCTATTTCCATACGTATGTTCTTACAGCTTATTGAACCCGCTGAACCTCTCCTATGCAAATTATCCTACAGTTTCTCATTTTTAAGGTGATGACGACATTGTACTCGCTGTTGTGATTTTTGTTGATTTATTGAATTACTTAATTCTGATAGGCTCTTCTTGAAAATAATAGTTCTGTTTTGACCAATGGCATTGAGCGCAAAGTCTTCATCGCCCAATCAAACGCGAGCGTTTCAGTGCAGCCAATCGGGAAGCAGTGACGCGCGTTCAACTATAAAACATTCAGATGACGCACAGTCTCCGCTGAAGTACGACGGACATTTTGCAAAACGTTATCCAAACAGAAAATATCGTTATTTAAACGCAAGACGCGAGGAGCTACAGCACGACATTCGACGTACAGAGGAAACCAAGAGGAAATACAGATGTTTAAGAGAACTGTGTTGCAGTTAATGTTTGTATAATAGTTTATATTGTGTGGCGACTCAACGGCTCAAAGATGTCGGACGAAGGCGCGAGGGAGGACGCATGCCGCGAGTATCAGTCCTCGCTGGAAGATCTGACTTTCAACAGCAAACCGCACATCAACATGCTCACCATTCTAGCCGAAGAAAACATCCAGTTCACCAAGGATATCGTCGCAATAATTGAAGCACAAATTGCCAAGGTTTTTATGAAAATAGATTTATTTTTGTTTCGTTTCAGTAATCGTCTTTTAGCTCGAGTGCGGCTAGTTAGTTAAATGACGACATGACATGAGGCCTGTAACATGGCGGCTGCGCGACTAGTTCGCTAACCAAAATAAATCGACGTAAAACATGTTTTGATGCTATGTTGTTTATCATGCCAGTATTTTAATAGCAATCAGAATCTACTGTTTTTGTAGGTCGGAAAAGTCACACCACTTCACATTCCCAAATTAGGCCAGTTGCAGCAGCGTGTTTATCTGCTTGTTGGGTCACAGCTGCTCATAAAGTCGGACTTACTGTTGACGCATTTGGCTTTAAGTGAATAATCCATGTTTTACCTTGTCAATAAGCTTATCGTATAATGATAACAGCCCGGTGGCTTCACATACAGTATTCGCTATTTATTCATTTAAACCAATGTTACAGTAGAACATACGTTTTATTGTTCAGTGTTAATATAGATATTAATGTAATTTAATTGCATATGGTTGTATTAATCATAATTTATCCATAAGAACCCTACATAGGAAATATGCAACATTTCCGTGTTTGTAATCAGCGCAGCGACCCGATTCATCGTCGTTGTGTAACGTTAGTTAATTGTGTACTTTGCATAGCAACTTTGTAAATATGAATTGATTAGAAATATAAGGTGCTAAGACACACCGTGTTGATACCAACAATTAATCAGGAATAAGTTTTTGCATACTCGTGGCTGTAGTTATGTCATGTCACCAGCTGGTACACGTGGTTTGCCGCCTATGTACATAGATGGATGGGTATTATTGGGGAAATTCGTGGAAAGTTTTCATATCCTTGTTTATGTTTGCATCCTATTTGAAATCTTGCATTAGTTCGGATAGTCGTGTTGGGCTGCTCTGTGAAAACGAACACGCCTGAATTTAACGTTTTTAATACAAATGTGCGCCATTCAAATTTCTGTGTACTTGAACCTATAAAGGGTTTGGGGTGTTAGATTGCTGAGTAATTTTCCATTCTTTACTGCAATGTTAATAAATGGTATACAACTGTGACAATAAACTATGTGAAATGTCCTTTTGTCTTTATTTCCCAGTGTATTTTTTGTGGTAATGTTTGCTATGTTGTTTTCATTCTAATCCAAGTGCTCTTTAATACAAAGACATTTGCATTGGTACAGTGTCCATTCTAATGACATTCCAAAACTGAAAGTGTAAAAATTGCTTTAAAAAAAAAAAAAAAACAGGATTTTACAAAAACTGTGCTTCTCTCTGCACTGGGGCATGTTGGTTACAACTTGTCAAAAATCTTTTTATGGACTTGTGTAAAATGTAAAGACCAAGAAGTGTTTCATTTTTTTTCTCCCCAATATGAAGATCAAATCTAAACTTGAATTTAAATGGATCCCGGAGTTGAATTCCTGGTCAAGTACAAAAAAAAAATACAAGTGAAAAAGCTTTAATCCTTTTTTTTTTTTTTTTTTTCTCCCCACTTTAAAGGACTTGGGCTTCTTGCTAAAAAAAAAAAAAAAGATGCCAATAACTGAAACTGAATTGTACTGACAACCTAACAAAACTATTTTCTTGATGGACTGAGCCTCGAGTGAAGAGTGAACATTGAAGAATTTTTTAAAATGAAAATATTCCTGATTTTTTTGTTCCTGCATCTGAAACTTTTCCCTGATTTTTGATGGATCTGGTTTTTGAGGAACTTTTTTTTTTAATTTTTTTTTTTTACTGCAAACAGTGGACTTCCCCTTAAGTGCTTGATTTTTGTTTTCTGTGCCAGTATTTTTAATCCAACGTCAACCATTTAATAACCTCAACAAACAAACTCTAATTTTATGTAGTTGTGCATTTCTCCCATGTTGTTTTCTAAACTTGTCAGTTTTCTATCACTTTAGGCACCTCCTGGTGAGAAGCTTCCAGTTTTGTACTTAGTGGATTCCATAGTGAAGAATGTTGGAGGGGAATACCTTGAAGTGTTTGCTAAGAACCTAGTCAATTCCTTTATTTGTGTATTTGAGAAGGTACTTAATTCTTTGAAATTGTGTCCATGATGTTACTTCTGATTGAACGTCATGTGCTCTTTGTCATTTAAAATACTGCATTGTGCTAATTCATTTCTTCAACTTGATTAGTTTATTTCGTACCTTAATAGTAATAACTTTCAGTTTTTGTTCAATTTTTTTGAATGGTCATCTACGTAGTTTTGTCAGTGTTCTTTTGAGAATAAACAGTGGAGTCAGATATTCTTTCCCCCCTTTCTTTTGCTTCACTTTAGGTGGATGAGGCCACTAGAAAAAGTCTCTTCAAATTGCGTTCCACATGGGATGAAATTTTCCCCTTGAAGAAACTATATGCACTAGATGTGCGTGTGAACTCGATAGATCCTGCCTGGCCTATAAAACCATTGCCACCAAATGTGAATGCCAGCATACATGTCAACCCAAAATTTTTAAAACCGGTAAGCATTTAAGGAGTTCTAGCTATTACTATTATTTTTTTTATTATTTCCTAGAGGTGGGAAGAAATGTACAGCCATGGTTTATCTGAAATGTGTGCTTTTCTCTTTGCGTAGACTGAAGAAACATCTCCGAAGCCTCCTCCACCACAACCTCCAGCTCAGAGCCTGAAACAAGAACAATTGATAAGGCAACAGTTGCTTGCAAAGCAAAAGCAGTTGTTAGAACTTCAGCAAAAGAAGATAGAGCTTGAACTTGAACAAACGAAAGCTCAGTTGGTGAGTTTAAAAGTCATGTGCTTTATAACAAGACAAACTAGGAAGCGCTGCATGTTAATATTTGAAGTTTTTAGAAGTATAAAACTAGTTTTCTGTGATGTGCCAAGCACAAGTGATATGTAACAGCAGTGCATTGGAGCTGTAGTTGGTCTAATGCAGTTTGACCAACATTCTTCATACTGCTTAGATATAACTAAAACACAGAATTGCTCCCCTTTTTTAATTCTCAAGGCTGCCAGTCCTGCTATTTCTTCAAACCACCATGTCGGTGCTCCTGCACGTTTCAATATCTCACCAAAAGTCACTCACACGGTTCCTGCACCACAGACCAAACCTTGGCCTCCAGCACCATCAGAAAAAATGGCAACCAGAGATCCTAGATTAAACAGACTTGGTGCAACTGTAAATGCAAAGGATCAAGTGATGCATAAGAAGGAGAGTCCGGTCATACCAGGCTTTCCGACTACATCAGAAAAAAGAGGACAAGTCTCAGCTGAAAGACAGAGTAAGTTGGAGAAGTTGAGGATTCCAAAAAAGGATAACTCTGCAGTTGAGGAAAAGCCTAAATCCAAGTCGGTGTCACCATCTGGAAAAGGCATCCTTGTCAGACCCAGAGGAATGGAGTCTGAGCATTCAAAAACTGCTGAAGTGAATAAGAAGGACCCAAGGCTACATAAGCAGATGCATGACAGGACAGATTCAAAGGATGAAGATGTCCGAGAGAAGAAAAGAAGTTCAGAGAAGAAAGATAGGGATGAAGGTGTTAAAAACTTGGATCATCAGAAGTCCAGCAGCACCAGGGCCAAGCTTATAAATGGCTCTCTAAACAAGCATGAAAGACTTGAGACATTTCTGAAACAAGAAATTAAAGTGAACAAAGCAAATGTTAGAAAAAGGTCTCGGTCAATATCCCGTTCACCACCATTGCATTCTCCCAAAAGAAAAGAGAGGCGATCATCTCCAAAGAGAAAAACCAGGAGTATTACTCCACCCCCCAAGTCTGGAAAGGCTAGGATAAGTAAACATTCACATAATGATGATGCTTTTTCACAGTCGAGTCTTAGAGATGAACGTGCCAAGAAAAATGCCCCAGAACCAAGACGATCAAAAAGGCCACTTGATGATAGAGCTGCTGATCAGAAAGATGGACCACATCTGAGAATTTCTCCTGCAGAGCATAAAGACACAAAAGATAG